AAAATTCTAAAATCTCCAATTGAATCACCTGTCGACTGCTAAAATACTCCCAATAAGAATCACCTGTTGACTGCTAAAATACTCCAATAAGAATCACCTGTTGACTGCTAAAATGCTCAAATCTCCAATAGAATCACCTGTCGACTGCTAAAATACTCCCAATAAGAATCACCTGTTGACTGCTAAAATGCTCAAATCTCCAATAGAATCACCTGTCGACTGCTAAAATACTCCCAATAAGAATCACCTGTTGACTGCTAAAATGCTCAAATCTCCAATTAAATCACCTGTCGACTGCTAAAATTCTAAAATCTCCAATTGAATCACCTGTCGACTGCTAAAATACTCCCAATAAGAATCACCTGTTGACTGCTAAAATGCTCAAATCTCCAATTGAATCACCTGTCAACTGCTAAAATTCTCAAATCTTCAATTGAATCACCTGTCGACTGCTAAAATACTCCCAATAAAAATCACCTGTCGACTGCTAAAATACTCCCAATAAGAATCACCTGTTGACTGCTAAAATACTCAAATCTCTAATAGAATCACCTGTCGTCTGCTAAAATACTCACATCTCCAATTGAATCACCTGTTGTCTGCTAAAATACTCACATCTCCAATTGAATCACCTGTCAACTTCTAAAATGTTCAAATCCCAATAGAATCACCTGTCGAATGCTAAAATCTCCAATTGAAATCACCTGTCGAATGCTAAAATCTCCAATTGAAATCACCTGTTGACTGCTAAAATACTAAAATCTCCAATTGAATCTCCTGTTGACTGCTAAAATACACACATGTTCAATAAAATCTCCAAAAAGCTAAAATGCCCCAATAAATCTCAAATACTTAAAAGCTAAAAATGTCATTTTAGAGATATCAAGTTACCTAGAAATACATGTATACCAGAGAGATAATTGTCACTTAGGTGTTGAAATTATCTGTTTGTTATAATCAGGTATACAGGGAAGGGAATAAAAAATAATGTTCTTTCAGACAGGTTTTCAGTTTACTTTTAGACGAATTACTTCTGTGGGTTCAGATGTATATATCAATAGGCTAGTGCGGTGCAACATAAATTTTATGAGTGGTGGCCCAAAGGTCGGATTTTGACATCCTCTAAGAGGAATGGATAGTGATGATGATGTTAATCAATAGAATTAATGAAAGTTTGAAAAACGTGACAGAAACTAATTGGAGTGACATTTCTAAACGGGAAGTTCACATGTTGGAGGATTTGTGCGAGACATTTGGGAATAAATGCTTCCTGGCCCGAGATGTAATCTTATGAAAAGTCGTGAGAGAAAAAAATACGCATAAGTGACTTTTTCTTTCTCTCCCATTTGTGTGGGTGTATTTTACAACAATTTATCGATGACAGAGGTAGGACAAATGTCAGATAATGACGTGTACCATTTAGATCTGTTGTTGCCCTCAACTAAGAGGGAAATTGTTTCTGAAAATGAAATATTTGTTATGGAATAAAATTATAATTTAAGCATTTTGGCAAACTCCTTTTTGCTTATATCTATCAAAGATTCATGAATCACAAATCAAATAATCATGAATTGCAATTCTAAAAATCCAAGTTATCATTTATATAATAACACTAATCAAACCAATTGTGATCCATATTACATCTTTGATTATTTGAATCATAATTTGTGATAATTTGAATAGTGATTAAACCTCTCATTTACGTTTTTTCCTGTACAAAAATACAACATGACAAATACATGCCCTGGTTAGTTTTCCGTACAAGTTCTTGCATATCAATTAGGTCATTTACATCTTCTAGCATAAATTGCATATTTGAATAGTCTGTAATCATGGGTGTGCAGCGAAAATCACTTGCATGATTAGTGGAGAATTTACATAAGCAATTTTTTTTTTTTCGTAGACAAAAGAAGCTACCTCAGAAACCTGTGAAGAAGAAGAAGAAGAAGGGAATGAAGATTAACGTGTATCGACTCAAACCACATTAATGCTTTCTTGGAAAAGTTAACCTGTTACTCCCGAGAACATTCACCACACATCACTACACTGCCAATATGAAGAAACAAAAAAAAAAGACTTCATTGATGAGAGTTGTGCAACGTGCAGTCAATAGGATCGTAGACTATAAAGTCAAAAACGTGCTTGAAAATCTCAAAGATATGTTTAGTTTTTCTGAAGTTTTTTTTAAGGCAGTATCAGGACAGATATCAGGTCATTGTAATGTTTTTTTGTAAGCATATTTTCAGACAAAAAAAAAAGGAAAAAAAAAAAAAACTTATTCTCTTTACACCTTGTACAATTTACATTATTAAGTTTAGAAGAGTTATATAATGCAGGGAATTTCAGAGTTGTCAGTAAGATGAAGAGTATTTGTACACATACTAGATTTTACCATGAATATATAACAAAGTATTATTATCAAAAAGTTCCTGTTTTTCATATTCTTTTACAAATTCAGTATTTCCCATAAGGTTTCTTGCCTCAGGTTGATAATAATATATAGTAATTGCACTGCCCCTCCTCCGACATTTTCCATCATTATTTAAGAAAACTAAATGTCCTGTATGACTTTGAAATAAAGGATGATCATTTCAGATAATGTTATGTTAAAGCAACAGGAGTGGTTGTCAAGTTACTTTGTTTTTAGGCAAAGTGCAGAGCTCAAATTTAGTAGCATGGACGAATTTCCTGTTGAAATTTTTGCTCCTTATCATATAGTTACAATAGTCAAGTGACATTTGGTCATGAACGTAAAATTTTTTCCCATTCTAATGAAAGTATCTGCATTCGTAATGACTCATGTTAATTTGTCTTTATGGCCACTAGAGGGCGTCAGTCTGTTTTGGCAGGGAACTTTATATCACGTATGTATAACTTGTATATACTTGTGTTAACCAGTGAATTTATCACAAAATTTTGACAATACTGATATTTGTTTTCCATACCAAGGTCCTTCTAGTTTGGTAATATTGCTTTGAAATATTGACACACCGCAAGTTTCTGATTAAAATCCAATATAAACACCAATTTTTTTTGCCATATTGTTCCAAACATCAAAACATCAACATTGCCAGCTAAGTTGCTGACTGGTTTGCTATTTGCGCATGGAGATCGTTACGCGATTAGAATAAGTTGGGGCAAACCAATCTCAAAAAGGAGACGTCAAACTAACACAGGTGGACTCAGACACGTTGAATATAAATAGAAGATAACGATGCAATTGCCTTTCAATATATTTCATTCAATTGTATAAATTGCTAGATAGTAATTGGTAAAGTTATCCAAATAAAATGTATGTACTGCCAAAGCCTGGAATGTCAGGACATAGTCACTGGTGTGTCTACTGCGTGTCATAATGCGCATATTTACCTGAACTGCACACCCTTGTCAAAATAGTTCTAATCATGTAACGATCTTGAGACGCGCATTGCAAATCGGTCAGCCATTTAGCTTGCAATGTAGCCGTTTCACGGTTAGAAACAATATGAAAGTGACTGTAAACATTCTAATTGTTGGATATCAACTTGTCCATCGATAAGAGTCCCTAAGACAGCAGATTGTTGTTTGACACTGATGACATTATGACTGTTGTGGTGCAATTGCTACAAATTGTGTATATTTTCATCTGCATAAATGAATGGTTGTTGGCGTATGTATCTATATAGTGAAAGTAACAAATGGATATGTCCACACATATGTATGTATTGCAGATGTATAGGTTAGATCACGGTCTAAGGTGTGAGAGTTCTAATCCTCATGGTCATCTGGGACTGTGATCTAACCAATGTAGCACTGACCAGTCAGCCCGAAAAAAGATTGTATTAGCCAATCAAATGATGTCATTTTGACAGCAATCAAACTTGTGAAATATTATTTTAGTACATTATGTTACATTTTGTCAAAATGTTGCAACGATGGCCTACAGTGCTGCCAGTAGTGTCAGTTGAATCGACTGTAACTTAATGGATACTTTGTATCTCATCTTGGTGTTATAAATAATTGTTGCAATGAAAATCCTTTGTTTTCTTGCGTTTTTTCAGCCGTGATCTAAGTGAATTCGTGGTGCAATAGAACCACACTTTATCGCGACTCTGATTGGTCGAAGGCTGCTGGCGATGTGCTAATACCTATTTGAAGGGTAAAATGTAACAAATATTTTTGCTCAGAAATGTGGGGGGTGTTTTAGGTACTGTGTAATGTCTTTGGATCCATCTCTTTTGAGCAATTGTTAAAAAACAAAAATGCATGTACAAATTGAAGTTTATTACAGTTAAAGATTAAGGGAAAATATAAAGAGAAAGTTCTTATGGCTAAATCGAACACCTTGATTCACGTACAAAATTAAATAAATGACTATTGGATTTTTTTTAAATAACTGGAGCGTTGTGTGGAAATGTATTTTTTTTTAATTTGTAGACTTGTATCTTGTAGTTTCATTTCAGTTTTATTACCAGCTCTTTTTGTAAGTAAAGAACTCTTATTGTATTCATATAATAATATTTTTTGGTATGTTATATTTAATGTATACTATAGTTAACAAGTTAGACATTAGAAAGTATTCCCAGGTGTACAAACAAAATTTCCAAAAAAATCTCTGCATTTGTATTCTGTGATGTATCTATGAATGCCAAGATAAATGCTCTCTCTGGTCAGCTGCAAGTACAGGTGTACCCAATTCTCAATGGTCATGCCAGTAAAATGCACTAAAATACTCGTTACTTATCTCTGTCATTCCATTATTAAGTTCTTAGTTCAGGCTTCTGTTAAAATTTATGTAATAATATCAATGTAATCTTTGTAGGTAAATGTATTTTCACCTTAGTGCATGTATCAGTATACATCAAAAAACTGTTCATCATGCAAACAAAATCGTAATAATTTGAGCTATAACATTTAGTCCAATGGGTTATTATTAATTGTCAATTAGACAACACTAGTTATGTTAGAATCTTTTCATTCATTCAGTAGACGCTTTGCGGGTTTCAAGTGCACATATATGTTGTGCGATTACACAAATAACGCTGCAAGCTCATTCAAAGTATATGCATGGCATGGACTGTCAAATTTGTACAAAGCAGCTGCACATTTTCGGAAATTTGTCGTACTAAGTCGAAAATTTAACTACAAATACTTATATGAATACAAATGAATGTTTGAGAGATTATTTGGAGTTGTTTTATAACAACAAACTAAGGACGTCAAAATGGCGGACAAAGACATCAAATGATGGATATACAACACTGTATAATAACTTATTCTGACAGAATTACCATGTGACACAGAAACCCAGAAAAGATTTACCATGTGACACAGAAACCCAGAAAAGATTTACCATGTGACACAGAAACCCAGAAAAGATTTACCATGTGACACTGAAACCCAGAAAAGATTTACCATGTGACACTGAAACCCAGAAAAGATTTACCATGTGACACAGAAACCCAGAAAAGATTTACCATGTGACACTGAAACCCAGAAAAGATTTACCATGTGACACAGAAACCCAGAAAAGATTTACCATGTGACACTGAAACCCAGAAAAGATTTACCATGTGACACTGAAACCCAGAAAAGATTTACCATGTGACACTGAAATCCAGAAAAGATCTATAACACGTATCATAGTGACAGCATCAGTGATGTATTTCCTCTTGTTACAAATTATGAAGTTATTTGCTTTCAATTGTGGCTTAGATCTGTAGTAACTATTAATATATTTTATGTATTACTAGAAAAACCATGAGTTGTTGGGAGAACGGGTTGTATTTGATGTCTGAAAGCTATATAAATAAATCTTTATTCTCATAGGTTTCTCACCAGTATGGACTGTTCTTTCAATGCAAATATTATCTAGAAATGTTACGACTGTATAGTGCAATCATCTTAAATCTAGAGTCAATCCAAAGCTACTTGCAAAATTGTGCCTGATTGGCTACCCAACCCTAACATCCAACCTTCAGACCAATCAGAGAGCAGCTAGTTTGTTGATAGATTTTTTTTCAAATTCTGCCTTGTATGTGCTTTAACTCAACTGTAAACCTATCAAACTAGCTGGCTATTTCACCAACTGGTAATCCAAACCCAAGACTACTGATGATTAATGTTATCAACATATTAAAATAGCCATTCTGTTGATTGCAACACCAACTTCACAGTTGAGCAACATGTTTTCAGCCCTTCGTGATGTCCGAAATAAGGGGTTTGTAGATTAATGCATTTGTCCATCCACAGGTCTTGACTGATTATGTTCAAACTTCACACAAATACCATCCGCACACCTATCTCCCACGTCCTGACTGATTATGTTCGAACTTCACACAAATACCCATCTGCATGCCTATCTCACGCGTTTGACTGATCACGTTCAAACTTCACACAGATACATATATTTATATATTTAACTTACCGTACCTCCAAGTTAAGCAACCTCTAAATATGGCACACTATATTAACTACTGGTCATAGATTCGATTGGCTGAATGTTGTCAACATAAACCATACTATTAATTGTTATTAGGGTATTTCACAGTTCTTTTGGCTTAACTAAAATACTTACTACATCCAAAGATTACAACTTTAGTATAGGGAAGTTTTGATGCCCAAATTGTAGAAGTATGTACAAAAGCACATTTCCTACTAAAAACATGCACAACCTGAATAAAATATTTGTCCAAATATGAAATTCAGTATGGACATCTGTACTGCATAACTATGCAAAATAGAACACTCTGTACTATAATTTGAAGAATTGAAACTATCAACACAAAATGAACATATCGATATACCAAGTATCAAAGCAAGTGGACTGCTATTTTCAAGAAGTGAAAAATAACATTTTTGACCAAATCAGTAACAGCTACACTCTGTCGACTAACACTAGTACCTTCATGAAATTCACTGTATCTTAAGGGTCAGAAGGTGCAAATAATTAGCATAAGGGCTCATACCACTAATTGACGACAATGTTAAAATACAAGGAGATTGCTATATGAAAATGACAAAGTTGAAAACATGGCTCTAAAATGGGAAATCAACATGCAAGTTATCAACCACATGAAAAAAACAGACATGTTGGCCAGCTCAATCTCTCACAAATCTCAGGTAAACATACCTAATGTATTTGGATTGCACCTAGAGAAATCACTGGAAAAATCACCAAGATTAGAACATTCAAATGCACACAGAATAAACCTGCAGATACACAGCCGCTATTAAGTAGTAAACAAAAGATCACATGTTAGTCTCACTTTTGACCTAGATGATGCACGCCCTCAAACAGGGAGCCACCTGAGAACAAAATATTTTTAAAATGTCATTGGTTCTTGAAAGGCATTTAAATTGAAGGCTATGAATGGTCATTGAATGATAAGTGGCATGAGATCATAACAAATGATCCTCTGTTTGTTGTATCAGCATGTCTTAAGGGTCAGTGGAAAAAAAAGATGGGGGTGGTATAATAATTTAATGAGACATTTAATTAAAACTATTTGTATAGCTGCTGTGTTTAT